GCATGGGATGTTTTACTCTGATATATTGACATGTGTTTTGATATGATACTCTGATTTCATACGATGACTTATGTTTTTGGATGAAATGATTTTGATAAATATGGTTTAGTTAATAATTAAAAATGAAATTTTTGGTCATGATTTTTGGGATGTTACAGTTATGCATTGAAGGTATCTACAAGTTTAGGGACGGAGCTCTAGCAACCATGATCGAATTTAGTGATATGTTTGATGATATTTTCATCTTCTTTTGTGTGAACTGTGACCCAAAAAAGGAAGACTCAAAAGTTTTAAAAAGAGAACGAGAGAGAGAGAGAGAGACGGAGAAAAAAAGAGAGTGAGTGACGGAGAGAGAGAGAGAGAGAGAGAGAGAGAGAATTAAATATTAAGACTCGTCGGAGGTGAACGATGGTGGCTACCGAAAGGGAACGATGTTGCCGGAGATGAACAATGTTGGTAAGGGACCAACCACGAAAGAAATTAAAACCATAGGGGCCATTCGTGTAATTTAGAATATTTAGTTAATGTAGGATATGTTAAAAACTAATAAAAGTGATTTAATAGACAGATAATTTATAAATTTAACGACCTATTGTGCAGAAAAAAAACTTCAATGACTAAATCAAGCCAAAGACCTAACTTTAATGTGCTACGGTGACATTTCCCCAACTTATAAGACCGTGTCAGATCGATGTGGGATACACCGACATGTATGCGATTTTGTTTTTGAGAGCAGATGCTTTCATGATGTTGAGGAAGGTGCTGTTTGTTTTTTCGAATTTAAATCGGTTGAAGTCTGCAGACCACATCTGCAACACTCTACAGTTGAAGAGGTGGACCAAACGTTTGCAACCTATAATAAGAAGTATGTTCGTTTTTTAATCTCTGCAAATTACTGTAATAAGCTGAAATTAATTATATATTAGTAAAAAATAAATCTATGTACAAATTTTATTTAGTTTAATCATATGCAAATCAAATATAAAGATCATTGTGATGATATGATTTTTAAAGAGGTTTATATAAAAGATTTAAACATAATATTTGCTAACTAACAATAAATAAAATTGTTAATTTAGCTAAAAACATGTTCATTTTGTTTAAAATTTTGAAGATGATGTTTATTTTTCCGATTAACTTCAATAAATTTGGTAATTTTAATGATTAACTTTATAATTTATTAATATTTGGTTATAAACAATATAACACAAAAAACATGTATATGAAATTTACCAAACAAGTTTGAAATTATTTGAAACTGTATAAAATTGAAAGACCCCAACTTTCGTATTTTTGAAAGACCCAAACTTTCATACTTTACAATATCATTACTCCAAAACATGCTATTTGCATATTCATAAAAGCAATATTTTGCATTGATAAAGGGAATTACAAACTATTGGATACAAACCGTCTATTACAAAGTGTTTTATATATATATATATATATATATATATATATATATATTACATAACTACCCAGGATATTGTAATTTATACAAACATAAACCATAGTACAAAAGTACTATTACAAACTATTCTAAATCTTTCAATAGTATGTGAACATACTAGTTACTTAGCACCTGCAATTGTTAAACATTGATAGGGTAAGCGGTGACACTTAGTGAGTTCAATAATAGATACAATATAACGTTATGCCATATATATACTTCAATGTGACAAAGGCAAAGAAGGGTAACAAGACATATGTGAGATCACGTGACAAACGTTGATATCAATCAAAGACTTTATTCAAAGATATACTTTTCAATTCTTGATATATATCAATAAAGCTTTGGCCCAAATAGCATAGAAGACATGCATATTTCTGATTAACATCTTGTTAGATTTCAGGCTTATACTCCTGTCTAACCATTTCAGGCTTATAGTTCTTGATATATTACAAACTATTCTAAATCTTACGGAGACATGCTCTACATGGCCAGAGGCTACGTACCAGTACCAATGTGAATCTAAGTCCTTTCACTGATCACATGGTCAAAGGTATTACAATTGCTATAAACATAGCGAATAAAATCACACTGGAAAATAACTCAGAATAATAACACTGAAAAGCACATAGCACATATAACACATAACATACAATTGTTCCTATATATTGAACTCACCTTAAGTTAACCGGGGGTTAAAATAGTAATTTGGACAGCACTTCGGCTTTAAATATGTCTTTCTATGTTGAAAACCAGGAACTTAATTGAAAACCGGGCTCTGCGAAGGTAGGGCTTCAAAACCGAAAAGATAAAATTTTCGGGCTTCTCGGGGGTCTCGGGACGTGTTTGGGTGCTAAAATTGATACCGGGGCTTCGAAAAGTCAAAATAGTGAAAATATGGATTTAGGGGTGAAAAATGGCAAAATTCCAATTTTAGCCAGGAGGGTTCGCAGGTCCTCTATTTATAGGGTGAGAGGCCCGGATCCGAGGGCTGAGAAGCGAGCACGTGGCTGCTGGAGCGAAGGCCACGAAGCGAGAGGAGGGAGTTGGCGGTGCGAGGCTTGGACACGCTGCGATGATGACGCAGCTCGGTGGCTCGGATGCGAGGCGGGTAGGCGAGACGTGTCTCGCGTCGGACTGGCCACCGATATGAGACGTGTCTCCTTCCTGCTGGACCTCGGATTCAGCCATGTCTCCGGTGACGTTGCTGCTTCGTGCAAAGATGATGTGGCTGTGATGAGGGTCTCCGGTGGCTGGTACTATTCATGCGAATGTCTCGGAAAATGTGCCCCAAACTTCTAAAATCCATAACTTTCGCATACGAGCTTCGTTTTTGATGTTATTTATATGCACGCGTAGCTAAAATTACGTTCTACAACTTTCATTTAGACTTCGTCGGCTAGTTTTGACTTTAATTTTAATATTATTATTTTTAACAGACCGGGACAGAAAAATCCGTTAAAAATTCATAACTTTTTCATCCGACATCCGTTTTCGTTAGAATTTTTACCGTTGTACTACAAATGACGAGACCTTCGATTCTCGTTTAGGATGTATCGGTCAAATATCGCTCGATCTAAAATTCGAGTTTTTAGCTGTCTACTGCTAAGTTGAAACTTCGAAAAATCATAACTTCCTCATACGAAGTCAGATTTTGGCGTTCTTTTTATCGAATTTCTCGGTTTAACGAATACTACGACTTTCATTTAGATTACTAAGGCTAAAAAGTAGTTTATCAAAAACTCACTTTTTACATCATTCGGCGTCGTGCCGGTTTTGTCGCGGATCTTCGGTTGATCATAACTTCTTCGTTATAACTCGGATTTCGATGAGGTTTTCGCATACAAGTTTCTAACGAGATTCTCTACAACATCAAATAATAAAATTTTACTTATTTAAAATTTTATATTTTCGCTAAATTTCACTATTTGGCTTTTAATTGGAATCTCATAAGACTTTCAGTATTTTCTGAGTGATTCTAAACATAGTTTTACTTCGTTTCTAGTAAAAACCATCTGTTAGAACTCAACACTCAATTTCACATAGTATTTCACAATTACGAAACACGATTTCAAAACGTGTATATTACAAAAATATACTCCAATTAAAATAATAAACATGTTTGAAAAAAAATTAAAACAAATCTAAGTTGAATAACAACTTAAAGTAAGTGAGAAGTGGTTTGAAGATGATGGTCCAGTGCTACGCCACGCAACAGACACACAACAATTTTTAAGTTAAAAGTCTTTCAAAAAACAAATAGCTGCGAAAAGCCAAGTACTATATATGTACTGCCCGACACAACAAGAAGTGGTTAGAGGTGATTTTTTAAAAAAACAAACAACATCGAAGTCTCCATACGGAAGAACCGAGTAACCTTATAATATTGAAAGAAAAACCTTTTTTTGTTTGATAATTTTGAACTGCAATGTTTGATTACCCCTAACTTCTTATAACCCTCTAAATTAGTCACCTGAAACCGGCAATAAAGTTTAATTCAAAAAGCCACATCATAAATAATTGTAATAACCCCATGTTTAAAACAACAATTAATATCTTAAGGTTGAAGGGACTGATAACACTTCTAACATATTATCATATAGGTTTTTTTTGCCACATGAGTTTTTTTATTACCATATAAGCTTAGCATGTAAAAGTTGAAAAATGTAGAGAGTGATAATGTATGATTTTAATAGGATATGTTTTGACAAAAAAAAAAAAAATACAAAATACCCTCAACCAAGCACAACCCAATTTTTTTTTCTCTCTTCTCGCTATGGGTGTAGCGAGTTTAATTTGGCGAGCCCTCTAGTAAGAGCTAGGGGGCAGCGTTCCTTATGCTTAACAAGCTCCTAACGAACCTTTTAACGCTCAATTCCCATAAACCTAAATTATAAAAATGTCACTAGGTGGTCCAAGCAAGAATGAATTATGAGACTTTCTCAACAACAAGAGAGAACATAGGCTTTTAGTTGCTATATATGAGGTGAACTTCGATTTTTAGATGACTATGATCTTTATAGAAGGTCTTTGATCGACTGACCCTTTTTGAATCACCAACAAGGATTCTATCGTCTATTTCTTTTCTAAAACTTTTATTGTCTTAATCACTAAAAAGTTATTTATTTATGTGTAAACATCATCAAACAAGCCGTAAAGTGAGAATCGATAGACGTTTTTTTTCAGGTTAATGCTTTTGATAAAAAGACGTTTCGTAATCTTTAATCTTAATTATTTTTGAGGTTGTTGGCGTCTCTCCTCTACATACAAGTCATACATGTGTCGCTCCTCTCCATCCCCCCATAGACGAAGCGGATAATACGAAATACTCTCTTTCTATTCGTCTTCTTCTTCGTCTCCCTTCTTCTTCTTTCTCATCTGGGTCCTTCCTTCATCTTATCCCCCCTTTCTTTTTATCGTTTCCTTTCTATACCCTATTTGCATTCAAGGCCTAAATCAAACATAAAATTTATTGCAGTTGTAAGCACCTCTCATTTACTCCCCTTTTGCTGTTATCCTTTGTGTTCGTCCTCAATCCCTGCTTTCTATCTCTAGGGTTTGATTTCTTAGACACCAAGTTCATAGCTTCCTGGGATTGCTTTTTTTTTTTTTTTTTTTTTTTCGTTCCTTATATTTTGCTTTATTCCGTCTGCGCCTGCGTTCGAATCCGCAATGGGGTTGAAGTTTCATGCTTTGGAATTTTAGGTAAACAAATTAATATTACAGAATTGTCAATTATAGTGGTTTCTAACATTCTGCAGCGTCCTTGTTTATTGTAATTGTTAATTACTTTCTGGCTATACGGTTACTTAATTTCAATACTTTCGACATGACTGTTAGGGTTACTTGTTTCTGTCATCGTTATCATCTGGATTGCTCAGCAATATCTTTTATTGATTCCGAACTTTTTTCTGCTCTGATAAAGTGTGACAGATGCTCTAGCAGTTATTTACGAATATTCCTTTACACATTTATTCACATGTCATGCAGATGTGGAAACGACCAAGGTAAAACCACACCCGTATACATACCTAGAAGATCTTAGTTTTGAAGTTGCTTTTTTCTTGTTAAAATGTAATGATTGTTTCAGTCTTCTAAAGGTTCCCCCTATCAGAATTGCATTCATTTATTTACTGAATCTGGGCTTTTCACTTTAGAAGAGTTAAAATGGCGAAAGTGGGTCATATTGTTGCTGATTATCTTTCTCTTTCTATTCTACATTTCTTTCCCTCTATTTGTTTCATAGAAGCAGGCTGTGTACTTTCCAGAGATTTAAATGGTAACTTTTGGCCAAAAATGGAAAGCCATGTGCTATATTTAGCATATATTTACTCCCTGTTGCCATATGCAATCAGCTGAATTCATGTTGTATCAAACACATAAGCTGCTAATAGTTATTTATCTGTGTGGTTATTCTGCTATACTGGCATTTTGATGATTTGGTTGCAAATGAAGGTGGTTTTTTGTCACATTTATGCTTCACACAAGGGCCACTTAGGGTTCTTTGTTTTCTTCAACAAACATAATCCTATAGATTTTGTCAAATCTGTGGTCTTATAACCTTTTGGTTTTTGCAAAGTTTGTCTCTAGAACTTTATATGCTAAAAGTGAATAAGGATAACCTCATTCTAGTTGGATATTGTCATCAAATGAATATTGCATTGGACACTTATGTTGATGTTTTATCATTTTAATCATGTTATGAGAGGGATGGCTACGCATTTAAATGAACTATTTTATTTTTTGTTTTTTTTTTTCAGTGTGCTCATGGAAGAAAGCTATATGTGTGAAAAGATTAGAACAACACCTTTCCATAAACTCATACTCCTTTCTTCAAGATTCCATATTTGAATGGCGGCTGATCAGTTGAATAAACGGTCTAAATCAAGCAATATCATTCGTCACACTTCTTGGGAAACTCAAAAAGCAAAAAAGAAGAAATTTTCTCATCATGATTTAAATATAAAATCAAATATCTCTCTTGAATGGGATGAGAAGAAAGAACAAGTTGTTCCCAAAAAGGAGCAGATTGGTGTAGCCCGAAGAGACTTGACTCCATTTCTTCCACTTCTTCCACATTCCCAAAATGCCCTTGGCGATGTCTTTGCAGCCCCTTCTGAGTTGTTTCAACTGGATAACTTGACCAGTTTGCTATCTTATGAGGTAAGGTTAACAACAACATAAGGCTGCATTTGTATTTTGTAGTGGTGTTTTCGAAGAGAATGAGGAGGGCGTTTATGTCTTTTGCTTATATTTCAACCTTTTTGGGTGAGAAATGAAATTTCAATCTTTTGTCTGATATTTTTGGAGCTTGTTGTAGGTTTGGCAAACTCATTTATCTGTACAAGAAAGAGGGTTTCTGACTCAATTTCTTCCTGAAGGAGCTGAGCCACATAAAATTGTTCATGAATTGTTAGGTGGGAATAATTTCTACTTTGGAAATCCATTCATGAAATGGTAAGTTTAAAATCTCATCTTTAAGAGTGAATTAAAAGAAACAGAACCTTAGTCATATGCCTATTGGTAGGACTATGAGGGGTAAAATAGTCCAATAAAAGACTTTAGCTTTATATTACGTTCTGTTTTCTTTTAAACCAAAACCTCTCTCCATATCACATGAAAGATTAGTTTTATTCTTAGCAAGCATCCCTCAGTCTTTCTTGTTGAATGTCCTTGAAGTCATACTTTTTGCAAAAGACAATTATACCCTTGTTTATTATTCTTACATGACTAAAATTCATGTTCAGGGGGTCTTCGGTTTGTTCAGGTGATTGTCATCCTGATGCCATTCTCAGTCAAGAACAGTGCAACAAGGCTAACAAAATTGCATATTATTCCGAATTGCATAAGTATCATACTAAGTATGTCTGTTATATCCATTCTCATTCAATATATATTTTCTTTTTTTACCACTTTTATCTTGTTGATAATAAATTTTTATTTTTTATTTTTTGGCAGAATGATTGGAAATCTGCAACTATGGAAAGAAAGATGGGCAAGCTGTGCGAATCCTGAAAACGAATTTACACAAAAGATACTAAGGTAAATCATTCTTTTTACTACTTTTACTTTCATTTTGTAAGATTTTTTCAAAATATACTAAAGTTAAATGTTCGTTTTACTACTTTTAATTGTTATTGCTATAACTGGAAAGAATATGTTCAAACTACATTGCCATGATCAGATAAAAGTGAAAGTTACAATGCTGTTCCTTGCATTTAGCCTTTCATTGACTTTATTCACTAACCAGTAAAAAATTTCTCTTTTTGTTATCTCATTTATATGAGCTATTATATTATGTGTTGAATAGGTCCAGAAAAGATTTTCACAAAAGTGGCTCATTGCATGAGAATGGTATACAATATGGTCAAGAAGATGAATTTGGTGCAACTTCTAATTCTTGTTCTTGGGATGCTGATGATAAATCATATACTAGTGATAGCCCAAATTTAGCAATTACAAATGGAGAAACTATAATGAGGTAATTTGGCAACATTCATTTGTGTATTATATAATATATATAGTTATATTCTATGATTTTTTTTTTTTTTTGGTTAGGATCCCGAAAATGGATTTGGAGAACAGATTTTATGACTCTTCAGGTGAAAGGAGATCAGTAGCAAGAGCTAGAAAAGGAGATAAAATACGCAAGCTTAATATAGAATGTGGTGATGGTGCCAAATATATGTCATATATCAAGGTAAGGTCTTCATCTTATTTTGATTCATATCAAGATTTTTGTGAACTCATTGGATTTCGTTACACATTATCGTTGATTTTAGAAATAGCAATGTACTTTCACTTGTTTATTATGACATCCTACTTTTATCCTATAACAACATACTACATATAGGGGAACCTTTTAAGTACAATGTCTTAATAAAAAATTTTCAAAGTCAATACTGTAATAAAACTAAATTACAATTAATTGCTATTAGTCCCTGATATTATGGTTTCAATTTTGGGAGCTAGATTTTTTTTGTATTCCCTCCATTACATAAGAACTGGTATGTAAAACTTCCATTAACAAGGAAAGGAGCCTTAGGACATTTTTTTTTTTTTAATTTCTTAAAAGTACATTTCTATTTCTCAATAAACAAATTAAATAAAAATGCATTGCTATTTCTAAAACTACACCAGAGGGAATCGAAGTATAAATAAATGGGGGCGATTTTGCAAAAGGTTGTAACTTAATCGGGAAAGCTTTCTCTGATCCCTATTAAGTTCTTTCTGCATCAAGTCAACTTTTTTTTTTTTTTTTTGGTTAGATCTTAATAGTCTGGACATGGTTTTGTCAGGTTAGCAAGGAGCAACATGAACGAGTTAAGAGCAGTATGAAACACTCTAACACAAGTATTCAGCCAAGATCTCTTAATCATGTTTTAGGCAATCTTGATAGCTTCTGTGTTCAACCATATGAAGTGTTTGAAGAAGAAGAGAGACAAAACCTGCATCACCACTGGTTTGTGCCTTTTCCTTTCAGATAAAGTGTTGTATATAGATAAATGATGTTTAAAAAAATATTTGATACATTAACTAGAAAAAGCTTTGTTTGGGAACATGAACTTTAAGCTTTTCTTTTAGAACAAACCCAAAAGCTACTTCAAGTAGCTTATAGCTTTTATGTTTCCATTTTGAGCTTTTATTCATATGTCCTTTAGTGTAATCTGACACCTTTCAAAAGCTTACAACTACTTTTGCCAAGTACAAGTAAAATACCTCCTTTTAAAGATTGATTGTTGTATTGACAGGTTGAATTTGGCGAAAATAGATCTCCCTGCAGGGTATGAGAATTGGAAAAGTTGGCAATCTGCAAAGCGGGAAGTGACAAAGTCTTTGAAGAAAGAAATTGAAGATAAAAGAAAGTCAAATCATCTCTCACTTTCAAATTTGTATCCTCACAATGAGGAAAATGAAGAAACTCAAATCTTGCTACTTCATGGTGATCACAATGCAAATTTAGACAGTGGGCTTGTGAATTCTGAGGTCAATATAATCTCTTTCTTTTGATGCTTTTTTTCCCCTTTAACGAGGCACATCATGCAAAAGACGTGAATGCCCTCCTTATCCTCATCCTCCTCATCATTATTGGAAATAGCCCTAGAGAATTTTCTAACTTTTTTCAGTTTGTAATTTGTTTGTCAGGATGATGAAGAAGAAGAACAACAGTTGGTTGGTAACTTATGTGATGAGCAACTGTCCGATGTAGAAACAGATGATGTGCTTTTAGTTGCACCAGAGGTTTGCCCAGTCACCTTTTTCTTCAATAACAATGACAAGGGCATTTACGTCTTTTTTCATAGACGAGAGATTGCCTTTTTGGGCGAGACAAATTTGTAAAATCTTTGTCTCATTGAATACAAGCCAAATGCAGTAACAAATATTATTTTTTTGTTGAAATTTGTGATTCCAGGATACGATGGAACGGAATGACGAATCCCTATTCCAGTCGGAGGCAGATCTTAATGACACAGACGAAACTGCAATGCAAATTGAACAAACAGACGAATCCAGTGAAGATTCCCCCCGGAATCACCATCTGCCGCCCATCACCATCCATAATAACAACCAAAACTTCTGCCCGATAACCATCGCCACCAATAACGAACCCAATCCTTTCGTGTCTAACCTTCACGAATACACCGAAACAATGAGTCAACCCGATGCCCCCGTCAGTCAACAATTCCCCCTGCCACCTGCTCCCACTGAAATATGGCCATCCACCACCCTACCTACCTCCTACTACCATCAACCGCCACCTGTAGTCACCCATGGATACGGTGAACTGTCACTCGGCCATCCCCAAATCAGGCGATCCGATGGTGGTGGTGGTGGTGGTGGTGGTGATTCTTTCTTCTATCCGTATGCAAATCAAGACACCCGTAACGAATTACTACTCCACTCACTTTTCAAAGATCCCGGGACTTCTTATCTTCACGAACATAAGCTCTCCCGCCTTGGTTACCACCCAACTGGCGGTGATCCGGTGGCCACCACCAGTCAATTCCCAAGAAACCTTCAAGAAAACATTTTTGCAGACGGAGGTGGTCGGTTCACCATTCCGAGGCAAGAACAGTTGTTGCCGCTTCACGATTGGCCCGGAAACACCCATCAACCGATTCAAAATTGGTTTTCCGGCGATGAGGTGGCACGTGATGGGTGGTCCGGGAACCAGGACATGGGAAATGGCTGTGTGACAGGTGGTCCGGTGGTGGCGGACGAAAGCTTATATAGTGTTTTATCTCAGTGTAACGGGCTGCGTTCAGGTGTTAATTTTGGTTCATCGGGTGAGTTTATTCAGTCTGGGAACTATGGCGGGATTGGGCGGCCTATGGGCAGCAATAGTGTGGCACCTCGGGCAGGTTTGAACTACATGAGTGGTAATGAAGCTCAATCTGGGGCAGGAGGGGCAGGGACCAACGGTTTGGGGTGGATGAATTTGCCGAAACCGTTTCAGAGATCATGGAACGCTAATGAGTTAGGATGATGATGATGATGATGATGATGATGATATTCATGTTGTAGTAGCTGTTAGATGGTGAGAATTAGAAGTTGAAATAGACCAAAATAGTTATAGATGATGGATATATGAAAAAGGATTAAACTTTTGCGGGATTAATAACGCGAGAATGGTTTTGGTCTTTTTCTTTTTGGTTTATTTATTATTATTATTATTATTATTTTTTCTTTTGGTGAATTACCCAAGTGGGTTTTAGATATGTTTGTCTAGAAAGTTTCAAATCTTGTGAAATTATGTTTATGTGCATCGGGGTAGAAACAATCGTGTGGCTGGAGGGCAGTTTAGACAAATGACTCAAAGCACATAAAGCACCATGAAAAGTATCAATGCTTGACGATCTACTAACGGGTGTTTGGCAAAGAGCTTCGAGCTTTTAGAAAAAAGCTCTAAAAAACAAAAAGTTTTGCTTTGAGCTTTTAGAAAAAAAACACACGAAAAACAAAAAAAATCTTTGTTTGCCGATAGGAATTTTTGGCTTTGTGTTTAACAAGGGTTTTAAGCCTGTGTGTTGTGGCGTGAGTTTAAACAATAATTTTTATTGTGTATACATTATGAATAAAATGTTATCCACAATCACATTGTACTTTTTAAGCATAAAGGTTTAATAAGAAAAAAGTTAAAAAAAAAAAGAAAAAAAGAAGAAAGAAATGAAAATATGCTATATCAACAATAAAATAAAGTATATTGCTATTTCTTGCATTTGACCTTTTATCGGGCTAAATGCAAGAATAAACAAGGTACTTTCATTTTGTTATCTAATATAGCATCTTACTTTAATTTAATCTTCTTTTTTTCAATTTCACTTTAATGTCTATTGTGCTATAATTAGGTGGATTGCTATTAAGGGGGTGTTTGGATTAGATTTTTAGCTTATTGCTTATAGCTTATTTGTGGTGGGAATAAGCAATAAGCAATAAGCATGGGAAGGGATGCTTATTAAAATTAGCTTATTTAGCCTAATAAGCTGGATTTTATCTAAACACTCAAATTAGCTTATTGTGGAAATAAGCAATAAGCACCTCTTTTTTTTCTATCCAAACACCCCCTAAGCCATCGTATGTTGAAAGTACAATGTTAGAATTCGGAAACATTTCAAAGTATATGTTCCACATGTAAACATAAAATAATTCTCTACTTGTTCAAATCATTCTTCTTTATCGTCTACTTAAACGAAGCTTGAAATAAGATGAAAAAAACAAAGATCAAATTGTGTGGACACTACATCATTGTCAATGTAACCTAAGATCACCCTCAATTTTCCTTTAGATTCCTCCCTGTTAACAAACCACCTCCCTATTAACAAACCAAATTATAATATTACAAATTTATAACCATTATCCATCAAGATTTCAAGATAAACAATAACAAAAGGCTTTGAGGGTATATTTTTCAAAATTTAAAAGGATTTTAAAATGTGGAAAAAAATTGTTTTAAAATTTTCAAACATGACTTGAGAGCAAAACATCCTAATTTGGAACATAACTTTATTTATATTTCAAAGAAAAAAGATATAGCTAATTTTTAAATTTCTTTTAATTAAAATTAATTAAAATTAACGAAAATCACCCTACTAACCACATTTTACAAGTCATTATGAAATGAGTGAGGATTTTGCATGCAAAATTATCAAAATGAAGTTTTGCCTTTTTTAAGGCACATTGAAATGAGGGGATGATTATGTGTTTGATGTGTAGAAAATAATCTAATAAAATAAACTTAATTCAAACTACAAATCTTGTTTTAAATTTATATATCCTAACAAACTAAACTGAATATTAACACTAGACAATGTACCTTATCATATACTCCATTCGTCCTATATTAATAGTCCATATTTCTTTTTTAGTTTGTTCTAAACAATAGTTTACTTTTAAAAACAAATATCACTTTTACCAAAATATCATTCATTATTAGTTAAACTACCATAGAATTAAATGCAATTACCATGAAATTAAATGCAACAAAATGGTATAATTGTCATTTCATTTAATAAAATTAGTGGTAACTAATGTTTCCTTAATCTGTGTGTTTTTTTATCTGTGGACAATAATTTTGGGATGAAGCGAGTATAATATTAGTTGAAGTGAGGGTGTCGAACTCAAGAGGAATCAAATTGTACTAAATAAAATACTAAAACAAAGTAATTCTAAAATAAGCAAAATACTATTAATTAAAAGATACGTTTGATTAAAATTTTGAATCACTAATGAAATATGGTTAATTCATATGAAGTGCAATGAAAATTTGATAGACATTCACTGTTTTCTAAGGTGATTAAGCAAATGCTAATTGTTAGGGCCAAGACCTCAACCTTATTCAGGATCCCGGATGTTCAAGATCTTTCAGGATCCCGAACACTTCTCAGGATCTTGACCATCGTTATTATTATTTCCTAACATTTTTAATAGATATATTTCTTGTCTTTTTCTCACATGTATAGAATTAGTCAACATAAGACTTATTCTCATTGAATAAGTACTTCAATCAGGCAAAAGACCCGGGATACCAAGTCAAACCAACGTGTTGATTTTTATTAGAGACAATTTTGGGAATATTAGACTTATTGTTACTTAGACTGGACTATAAATACACATGTATTTTGCACACAACACACACCTAGACTTACTGCAACTATTGTACTCCTTTATTTATCATTTCATATGTAACTCACCTTTTCAATCAATAAAAACTGACAATGCAGGTAATCATTATCACCTCCCAAGATTTTGTGTCGGAGATCCTAGCAAGGATCAAAGGCTTTCCTTGTAAACCACTTGTGTCACATACTCTTGATTTGCTTATTTTCTTCGATTACAACATCACAACCTCTCATATAATTTGGTTGGTTTACACTTGATTAATTTTTGACCAAAACAAATTGGTGCCCACCGTGAGGCCATGGTGTTCGTAATCCCCAAAAATTATGTATAGACTGATGGGTTTTATACAAACAATCCTATGTGTGCATGCAACCCTAGAGTTGGATCTATGTTTTCACTATTAGTTATACAACTTTATGAACAAAAAAAGAAATCTGGCATGCTACTATTATTTTCGAAATTCATATATAAAATAGAATACGTACCTTTTGTTGTTATATAGCAATAACAACTAGTTCCTTGAATTTCCTTAACTCTTGAAAGCAAGTACCACAAGTGTAGTACCTCTAATGGCTCACAAACACCAAGAGCAAGAGGATGAAGAATGAGAATAGAGGAGACACCCAAAAACGGCTAGAAACCCTAATCAATTAGTTCACCACATTTTTTAGTCTCAAGGGTCCTTTAAATAGTGAGGCTATTAGGGTTATCTAACAAGGAAACCCTAATTTGACTGCTTAGACCCTAAGCAACCCATGGACTCCCTCCTTAGAGGCCTAGGATGATTTCTAATGGGTTTCCCCATAGAATTCGTCCACCCCTCTAATGTGCAGTCCATTAGCCTAATATTCAACTATCATCCAATTGACAGTTCTAGTCCCTCACGTTTAATTAATGTCTTTTAGCCACAAAATTAATTCTTATTAATTATTGACTAATATTAATTAAACAATATGATTTCTCCTTTAATATATTATTCTCATAATATATTAATAAATCATAATTAACTCTCTCTCTCTCTCTCTCTCTCTCTCCATAATTCATCCTATCAAGTTGCTTTGGTGAAGGCAACCCAAAAGGACCATGCACCATCGGGTAAAGTACATACCAAAATAGTTATGAACTTAGACACTAATCCAACAGTCTCCCACTTGGATAAGTCTAATAACCATTCTACGTATGACGTCAGATGCTGATCTGCAATCGTAGCTTTCAAAAGCCGCTATCAACTCTGATCTTATCAGAAGCGTCCTTTAGATAAGGGATCATATATTCCTCCATTCTTGATATCGTATAGAATTGAGACATGGATTTAAATCATACTCTCTGTCCATGTGTTGTTTCTAGATTTCCGATTTACGACGACTGACAACAGACTACAATTTGAACACATCAAATTAGTCCCGACTTGGCCAAGCGCTTAGGGTGTCATCACTAAATCATCGAGGGGCCCACAAATATTGCTTTCATTCTACTCAGGATAAAAGGAACGGATAAACTTTGATTCAATGCTTGCTTGCAATCACTCACCGAATCACACACAACAATATGTTTTATAACACCAAGTTACTAGTGTGTTTTCATATTATCAATGTGCAACCGATTAGCAAGATATAACTCACACATCTCGGTTTCAAGAATATAAGATGTTATCGTCTCACCAATCACTCGTGATACAATTCATGGAGTGATCCAAGTGAGCGTGGGTTTAATCCAATGCTCAAATTCATATTCATAAGCACTCACGAACGTTGCAGCAAACATTTGCTTATGTCTAATACTCTTTTAGACAATCTACACACCAATTCACGACAATCTTCATTCATACCTACTTCTAACATATGAACGAATGTGGTCCGTTCGAATAATTTGATTGTTCTGAACCAATTTAATTATTCAGGAAGTCAAAACATGCAAAGTGAAACACAAGAATAATACTAATCCCATATGGCCCCAAACTCTGGGTATAAATAAAACATTTTATTTAATCACCATATTGATTACTCATTATTTGTTGTTTCGGGTAATTAACTTATTACTTGAATTATTACTACAATTGTCCCATGCTCTTAGCATGCACACAATGCTTACTTATGGTCCTCACTTAGTGAAATAGATCAAATTAACACATTTCCAATCATACTCATTTCACAACTCCCAATTCTTATCATAAGTATAAGAATATCAAATTCTTGTTACTTATAGAATATGCTAGATTTTAACATTTTATGCAATGATCCTTTCGTAAAGTCATAGCTCAAAATCATCAAGACTTGGCCAATCTCTATCAGAAACAATTCTATAGATTCTCAAAGTACATTCCTTTGAACATCCTTCTTCCATAAAAGTTTCTAATCCAGACATAGA